CCGGACTGCCATGACTGTGTAAATATCATGGAGAGGGGCTTGGCAACTACATCAGCCAATTCCCTCATAACTCGGGGATGCCTCTCATCAGGTCCCATAGACTTGTGTACACTGAGGTTCTTCAGGTGGTCTCGAACCTGATCTTCCCATACAGTGGGAGGGGCTTTACCCCCCTGGTCTCCATCTTGCAGTCCATCGACTCAGGAGGGGTGAGGAGAGAGGTTGCCGGTGAAGACTGAGGCAAAGAAGTTGCTGAGTACCTCAGCATTCTCCTCCTCTGTTGATACTAGGTCGCCATTCTTGTTCATCGAGGAGGTGTGCTTTCTTTAACCTTCCTTTTCTGGTTGACATACCTGTAGAAGCCCTTCTTGTTTTTCTTTACATCCCTTGCCAAACTCAGCTCCATCTGTGCCTTGGCCTTCTTGACCCCCTCCCTACACAACCGGGCAGCTTCCCTGTACTCTTCCCAGGACACCAGGACACCACTGCCTGTGCAGTTCCCTCTTACTCTTTAGTTTGACCAGCATGTCTCAACTTTGGTGTTTTTTTTCCCGTGAGGGCAGAGCTGCTGCCGTTACACTGTGCTAGATTCTGTTTGCTTGAACTCATGCTATCCTTAATTCACAATAAAGTGAATGCTACCTTTCCCTCACAACCCCTACCCTATGTGGTGGTGCTGTAAAGAAAGCAGTCTCTAAGCTATTTTTGCTTTTCCACAAGTGCTCTTGTGCTTTGAGTCACAGTTATTTTTCTGGACACAAACATAATTATACCATGAGCCTTTTCTCACTCACCACCCTGATTTCTTCAGCTTTGGAGGCACGGCTCCCTGATGCTCCTCTTATCCCTGGTTTATACGCTCATTTTTCTTCATTCCTTTCCTTCTGACTTGAGGCCTTTCTCCAGAACTTTTCTTCCCAGGTTGGGCTGGGGTAAAGTAGGTGAATCGGCAATGAGGGGCTCCACCTGCCCCGTGCATGGGCCAGCCACATTTCCCCAGTGGATTACCACTGCAAAGCTGAGACTAGCACTACTGATGTATAAATGCATAAACTGTTTCCCAACTGAGCCTTGCATTGAAATGCCTCTGTTACATCAAAAAATAACTGGGGAGGTGGGGAGTGATTATTTAGCCTTAACAACAGGTTAGAGAGACGCTGGCCATGAGTAAGTGTAGGTTGTATCTTGGAAAGTTTTTTTTGTCAGCAGGAGTGTTAGCTTGTGTAAAAGCCTTCCAGTAATGATGTGTTTTGGTGCTTGGACAGAAAGAACAGTTTTAAGATGGCATTTGCAGAATTTAGTGTTTACTAAGTAACATGTTTTATCCCTTAGAATAGATTGTCTTCAGGGCTTTCTAGGACATTACATTCAGCGCTCTGTTCCTAAGAGGGCAGAGTCATTTCTGGAATAATCTTTCATCTTAAGTCACAGGGACACTTTTTTCCCTTCTTATCTTTACCAGCCATGGTTCTGCTTTCTTCTTTCCATCTCAGAGCAACTTGGTAGTCAAGTCACTTGATTTTGGTGAGAGCAGTCTATGTTGTAATGATGAGTCATTATTTGGATGCAAAGTATACCGATACTACCCTTCTGCAAAGCATACTGATACTACCGTATTGGTCAATACTTTGTTAAAAGGGGCCTCTGGGATTCCAGGGACCCTTGCGTGAGGATGGGGTCTCCACAGCTTGCTTCCTGGTCTTGGTTGAGGCTGGATGTATTTGCAATGGACTTCATACCCTGGCAGAGACTCATTAAAAGGAGGACGGGAAAGCTGCACCTTGACTTCTGCGCAACCCGCAGACCATAAGCAGCGCCTCTGCACAGCTCTGATGAATTGCTTACTGTTGCTGTTTTGCTTTTGCTAGATTGTTGCAGTTGATACAAGCTCCAGTTACGTTTCTGTCATGCCCTCTTTGGGTGATAAAGGTTCCTCTTGCTGCTAGTGGTGGCCATAGTCTGCATTTGCAGTGCTCATTTCTTTCATATTTGTACAAGAGAATTATTAAGGAAGACTTAGTCTTTATTTTAAAACTTTCTAAGATACTTCTTAGTGATGTTTGTCTTTCCCTTATTTTTTCCTTGCACGGAACATGCAGTATTGTCTACCTTATTCTCAGCATTGTCTGCCAGAAATAGACAGTTTGAACTTGTTCAATTTCCCACCTGTGATTGCTGCAATGAATGCACTAAGACTTTGCTAATTTTGCACTAATAATTGTGTATTACTTACTATGCGTTACCCAGTTTTGCAAGTTTATCAGAAAAACAAAACATACCAAATAGAGATCAGTCGTTGCTGGCTGATTTTGATATTCAACTTTAGCTCAGTATATGCTAGTAATAATGTACAGCGGAATTTTTTAAGATAATCTTTGCAAAGAAAGATTTTTAAACTGTAGTCATTAGCGAAACTTCCTGTGGCATTGTGCAACATTTTGCAAAATTTTTTTTAGTGCCTACCCGCTTAATGTGAATTTCAGTCTACTTAATTGTGCAGATATGATTTCTCTTGGCTTTTTTGTGCAGTACTGCCTTTTAAAGCTAATACTGCCTAAAAAGCTATTTCTTGCAAGTCAGCAGTGATACTGCACATAAACTAAAAACATATTTGGATGTTAGTAAGTATGAGAAAAGTAGACTGTAGTGTCTCCACCTGAAGACAGTGTATATATTCAGTGTTTTCTTTAGGCTGTACAAACTTAGGAGAGCAAAACTTCTTGTCTATTTTATCTTCTATCTGCCCTTCAGACAAATATTCAAGCTGTGTTTTTACCTTTGTATACTGCTTTCTGCTTGACACAGGCAAATATATTTTAAGTTTTCATTTGTGTGTTGTAGACTATGGTAAAATGTAGGCAGACATGTAAGTGAATGTTGGTCATTGATTCCTAAGAAGGTGTATTTCTTCTCACTTTGAAGAGCTGCTAATATAAAAGAACTTTATAATTACATAGACTTTTTCAAATTTTAGTTTTTACTTTGCTACATAGCTAGGCCAGGTGTTTTGGGTGGAAGTGGCTTGTGCAAGTGACTGCTTGGCTTTATGAGGTGAAGTCAAGGAGAAGGAAAATGCTTTAGAAAATTTTGGAATAATAGTACAAGTTTTTACTTGAGTTTAAATTTACCAGTTTCTAACATGCTATCTTGTTTTAATTTTGCATACAATTCTGGGTGTACAGATTTTGCAATTCTAGTAGGAGTAGGTATTATGCATACACACAAATATCTATCGTGAATGTGTAATTGAAGTTTTCCAAATTATTTCTTGGCCAAATGCAGGCAGTTTTTCATGAAGGCAGCATTGTGTATTATGTAATATAACAACATCCATGAACAATATCTCAGCTTCCAGAAGGTGGCAGGGAAAGGGGTACTGCAGCTTTCTGAAGTAAAAAGTCATTCTTCCTAACTTTGAAAGAAACACTTCATTAGGTCTGTTCCTGAAAATAGTTGAAACATTTGCTTGAATTTTCAAAACAAATGAGGTTTGCATGTCTGACATGCAAATTTCATCTCAGGAGGTTAAAGACTGGCAAAGTTATAAGCAAGGGAAAGCAGAATTTTATGAAAGAAGATGTTTGTTCTGATTATAAATGTAAGGTTACCAAATATGGTAGGCCAAAGGGTGCCTCTGTTACATACAGATTGTTGTGGAAGTTTCTTTTTTTTTCTGTATTTCAAGAAATATATTTGTTTTGTAGTGTTGTGATGATATTAATTTGTGTTCTAAACATACTTGAGAAGAAAGTCTGGCTTGTAAAACAATTTTTGTTGGGTTTTTTTTTTTCCTCACAGCTGGGTTAGAGATTAAGATTAAACTGCTTTTTTCTTTTGTTCTATGAGGAGTTCTCATTGTGATTACCTTTTAAAAGTGTGTACCTTAATTTAAGTAGAAAAGGGAATTTGTGTATAGCATAGCATGCAGTTTCAAACAGGAAGAATAATTTTTTCTTAAACTGTGCTTCTACTGTCAATGTAATCTGGCATATACCTTGGTTGTGGAAAAGGCGATCTAGTACACAGAGTTAGACTAGAGCTGGATCTGTTAAAAACTAACCAATCACTACTGTTAGTTTTCAGTTTTGTATCAGAATAAAGGAAGAATTGGAAATGAGCAGATAGAGATGGAGAGAAAGTAGCATTGCCCCATCTGGTAGTAGCACCGATTATGCCATACTAAGCTGATTGTGGAATTGTAATACTATTTTCAAGATTAATTGTTTTTCTTTATTTTATACCTTCATCAACTCAATTATTGCATCACAAAATGGGCAGTTCTTCCAATTATCCTTGCTGAAATAGTGCAGCAATATTGATACATAAAGGAGAAAATGAATACTATTTATCTTAAATTGCTTCAGCGTGTTTGTAGTGCTTTATTTGTAAATACATTATTTGCAGTGACTTGCTTTGTGTCAGATGAATTATTGACTTGAGCTTGTGCAGGTTCAACATAGAAAAAATAATTTCCTGTGTTTTCTTTTTTAGCCTTCTGTTGAGTCTTCAAGCCCAGGTAAATATTTTTAATATTTCCTAAACTTGTGAGGGAAGAGGGCACCCTTGAAAAATTATTTTTGCTGGTCTCTTCCAGTTAGTAATCTAAGGATATAATTTGATTAACAGGTTGGTGGCAGTACTGGTTTAAGCAGTCACTGCTTTCTTCCAGCCTGTACCAGCACAAGTTTCTAAATGGCAAAATACACTGGGGAAATACGATACTTGTCTTTGCAAAAGCTGCACAAACCTGTGTTTGGGAATGCTGATGTCCTAAGGAGCACAATGTGAGCGAGCGCTGCGGGCGTGAGAGACTACATCACCCAGCAATAGAGTTACCATCCATCTAGGCATGGCTACCTGTTGGTGTTAGAATTAAATACAGAGTCAAAACTTAAGGCACTGGATGTTTTGATGCATAATAGCATCAAGAACAAAAGCATCAAGAAAAACAGTATTTTTTTACCTCATTGAATTACTAAAAATGAGGGGTTTCATTACTTCTGTTTTTAAAGCTGGTTATTTTCTGATATTCCAGTATCCCAGAATTACTGGCTATCTAGTAGTCAGCCTAAGTGTAAATTACGAATATCTGGGGGGCTTTTGTTCACTTTTGTACCACTGTACTTATTGTTACTTATTTCCAAGGTTTTTGGCATCCTGCTAGTGGAAAAGCGTTCCACTAGTTACTTTAGTTGGACTGCCATTGTCTCTTGAGCTCTTGTTTCATTCAGGGAAATAATCAATTGCTTTAACACTTCAAAATACAAAGCAGAGTTAACCCTTATAGTCAACCCCTCCCTCTTGCACCCTTAGCATGGGTATACTCTTCAGGCTTTGGAAAATGAAATTTAAATTGTCCACGGAGACAAGTGGAAAAATGTTAGCAGAGTTAGAATTAGAAGTCAGGTATTGCTGAATTACATAAAAACACTGCATCTGCCAAACCATTCATCCATTCATTTATTTTTCATTGTCATAAAATATAACCAGACTTCTTTACAATGAACTGTGAAAAAACTGCACGGGGAAAAATAACTAAGGATTCTGCATCATAAATAAAATCTGCTTAACTGTGAAGCTTACTTTAAGTTTAAATTTTGGAAAAGTCATTAGACTGTCTTTGTAGTTGTAAACAAGAAAGCTTCCAAAGTATAAAGGAAATGACTACCCTGAGTTTATATTTTATGAGTATTTCTGCTCCCAGTAGAACTCTTGATTCAGGCAGGTTTATGATTATTTAAGAATTAAGTCTTCAAAAACTGAACATTTTACAAACATTTAACTAGGGGCGCCTGATGTCCAGATGTATAGTACTTTGAGAACTGGCTAGTTAAACAGTATCTCCTGGTTCTTTTTTCCATGATCTCTTACTATCCAAAGGACAGCTTTCATTGTCCTCTGAGATTGGCTTTCCCTAAGATAAATGATTGAGGGATTTTGAAGATATTTTAATTTCTGAGTATAATTTGAGTATTAAAATGTCACCAAAATAAAAAATTAAACTCTGTGAGGCCATGATCTAACTAAAAACATTCTTTAAAATGTTTTCTATCAGGAGGTTCAGCAACATCTGATGACCATGAATTTGATCCATCAGCTGATATGCTGGTGCATGACTTTGATGATGAACGGACATTAGAAGAGGAGGAAATGATGGAAGGAGAGACAAACTTCAGTTCTGAAATAGAGGATCTTAACAGGGTAGGTAGCCTTAAGTAGTCATAAAACACAACCACAGCCCACAGTCTCACACAAAACATGCAGGGTTTTTCCCTTTTATTTGGAATTTAAAAAAACCCACCCCTAAAACACTGATAGGCAAATAATATAGATGGGGGAAAGGGGCTGAGCTAAATTTGCAGCTCTCAAAAGTTGGGAAAAGGAAACTGGTACATAAATACTTAATAGTGTATAACGCTGTGCTTGTTTAGTTTCTTTTTGCATATATGTGCTGGTGTAGGATTTGCATTCTAGAGCTAATATAAGTTAAAGTACACTCTTGACTAAACTTGTGTATTCCAGTGTTACTACTTTCTAAAACACTTGCAGTTGATTAGTGCATATAGATTTTGATTTTTTTAAAAATCCCATAATTTTACATTTCTCTTGCATTTTTATACAAACATTTATGTAATACTTTAGTAGGGCATATAGAAGTATCTTCATTTTTAAGGTAGAGGAAGTGGAGATGCAGATGAAATTATTTGCTCAAAGCAAAGAGTTGCCTGCAGAGCTGGGATCAGAACTCACAGTTATTGTTAATAGTGATAAATAAGTCTTAAAACGTATCAGTATCTTCTGAAATAATTGCATATAAGATTTATTTGGCATTTTGAGGTTATGCTGTCATTTATGTATTGTCTTAAATTACTTCTCAGGCAGGAATAATATTCTTAAATTACAAACTAGGTTCATTATAAATGCAAAGTTGTTTAGATACTGCCTGTGACTTCATTGGCTGAAAAGGCTTCCAGAACAGATCATTAATGATTCTCAGATGCATATGTGATGTACAAATCCTATTCAGAATAAGTGATTATGCAAATATGACTTTAAATTAATTTAGTGCATTTAATCTACATTTCGGGTGTAAACGATAGTTTCTGTCTGGTAATTTCAGGTTTGATATTAAATGGTAAAATGAAGATAAATAAATAGTTTGTGAATCTAAATATGCTTCATCTAGATTAAATGAGAAATGGAGCTCCACATGTATGTCAGGTGGTTTGTAAGTTGAAAATACTTTTTTCCCCCCTCGTATTTTGTGAAGAGTCAATATCTGGATGTGTAATTCTATCACCACATTACAATGCTTCGTTTATAACTGTATTTCAGCCATCAGTTTATTCCCTCATATCTCGGTTGTCAGGGCTGCAAGTTTATAATTTCTCCACACATCAGCTCTTTTGTCATCAGGATGGTGAGCAATAGTGTCACTTAGATTTACATTGCTCTGTGTGCTGCTCCTCTCTGCAGGGTGCTTTTACAGACTGGCAGAGAATTGTGTGGTCAGTTTGTATGTGTATTGCAGGTAGGGCTTTTACTGAGTTTCAGACGCTTACATGCCAGCAGGGTCTTGCTAGAGACCTGCGGCTGCTTCTAGTTGTGAGATAGCAGGCTGCACATCAAGTCTTAACTTTTATCTCTTTTTCTGAATCATGGGTGATAGGCAATCTACATCTCAAAACTATTGTCAAGGCAAGTGCTATCCTGTCTTTTTCTTTCCCCTGACATTTACACATACTATTTCAAATTTCCCCCAGGCTGTGAATGTGCCTGATTTACTAGTTCAGCTCTTTCAGAGACAAGGTGGCAGTCAGATTTTGCAAAAGAATTTTTGAACCTTAATGATTTAACCTCCTGACTGTCATAAAAAGTACACCTGCCTCTGAGGGTGAGGATCTTTTCTGCTCATTGGTTGAAGCTGTGGTGAATCTGTAATGCCTTAGTACTTGCATTTGAGTAGCATCCTGCATTTGTCCGTGCAAGTACGTTTATACACTTTTGTCTAAATGGCAGTAGCATATTTGAGTCTAGAGATCTGAAGTTGCCTTCCATGCTGCTCTAGTATAGGAAAAAATACGGTTCCCTGAGAGCAGAACAGTACCTGAAGGGAATCAGAAGTATTGGATTTGGTGGTACTCAGTGATATTTCTTGAAAGGTAGGAGTGTTTCTTGGGCAGGAAAGCTATCCGTGAGGTGGTGCAGCAGAATATCATTGATCATATCCAGACATGTATTCAGTAATACTGGTTTTGTGTGTAGGAGCATCTATACCAGATGTGACCAAAGTCCTGGCTAACCAGTATTCCTTCTTCAGCAGCCTGAGAGACAGTGCTCAGGAAGGTGTGCCTGGGATGAGGCACATTCCTCGGCGTTCTGGGCATGTGCTGACACTGCAGTTTTCCAAAAAGCAGGAAATTTGGCAGCATAATTCTGGTAGTAGGAAACTGCATTCACACTCTGTCTTGGAAATAATAAAAGACCAGGCCCCAGCAAGTTGCAGAAATTCAACTTCCTCCTACTTTTAGCTAAGCTGACTGTACAAAGCATCAGCTGGAGGGAGTGTGACATGGAGGATTTGATGGGTGTGAGGCCAAGTTATTTACCTTTGTGCTGCCCTGTCTTTGGGCAGAGCACTACTGGGTGGTGTGTGCTGGCTTCCTGGGTGCCTCTAGGAAGTGGTGAGTATTGCCAGGTGCTGCGTGTGGTGCCTCCCTGCATTATTTACAGAATGACTCCCTCCCTTCTTCCATTTGTTGTTCCATATAATCACTTGGTTTCTCCTTTTGGGGTCCCCCTTTTCAGGCAGGGCTCTTGGGTTTTCTTAGGGTTATGCACCAGCATCCTCTTGTCTTTAAATGAGAGAACCATACGTGGAAGCTTGCAGTGTTTCTCCCAAATACTCTTCCAGCCTCTAGCGGGGTGCAGTTCAGGCACGTATGAAAACGATGTTCTCTCTTTGTAATGCCTGTCAGTCTTATTTTTCCTCCTCCCGTAGATTTGTCCGATTTATTTTTAACCTCTGTAAACTTGGTGTCCACAAGGCATGTGGCAATGTTGCGCAGCTCATTTAGTGTGAGAAACAAGTTTGATTTTTTCACACCTCTTCTGTGTTCATTTCAGTTGTTGCCCCTGAGCTCTTCAGTTAGAAGAGTGTACGGTCATTTATATTGACCACTTCTGTGCTGCTTACAATACAGTTCTCTGTTATATCACTCCCCCTCACTTACCTCCACTCCAGATGCACAAGTTATAATTATTTCTTGTTATTAAACATCTTCCACATAAGAAATTTCTATGTCTTTGATAAGACTTGTTACTTTTTTAACCCTTCCTATTTTTGCAATATCCTGAAACAATACAGAAATCATTATTTGTATTTTATCTTGGAAAGTTGCAGACCCTTGGGGCTTTTTGAATTGTAATGGACTGTTTGAAGTTAAGACGCCCTACCTAAGAAAAATGTTGTAAATACAATACCACTTTGCTAGGTTACATGTAGTGATATGCCTGTTACATCGTTCACACATACCTACGAATTGTAGTAAAAGTTCTTTTTAATTCTCAGTCTCCATCTACAAATGGGATAGTGGTGAGGAGCGCTTGATGAACATATATTACCTCCCAAAATGTACTGGAGAATGTTTGTTTGGATAATTATGAATAGGGTTTTTCTGATAGCTATACTGTCAGATTAAGATCACAGTCCTGTCATGTTGTCCGTGTCAGTAAAGTATTAATTCCCCACTTCTAGGAGTTCTTTCCATAAAGTGATACAATAGGGACCAAGAAGTCAAGAGGGAAGGTGAGGACATTCAGGTCCACATGGTCTGCATCTACTGTGTATATAGCTTAACCAAAGAGTAGACCAATAAGTGGTAGAATGGGTTAGTTCTCTGAAGTAAAATAAAATAAAATACACAGACAATGAGTACTGGTAACTTCTGTGTTACTTTTATTTTTACACAGCAGAACTAACTACACTTGCCTTTTGTAATTGGTATTGTTAGTATGTTTCCAGAAGCTAGAGATGTGTTGATCAGTGAAGGCCCTTAGGAAAGGATTTCATTGGAGGAAGTCTAAGGTCAGCCAATAATTAAAAATTCTGATTATCAGCCAAGATGTACATTACATACTAAGAAGAAATATTTAGAGCAAGCAGATACCTCTAAATCGTAAACAAAGGATTTGATCTTGTGAGAGAGATAATTTTAAAATGCTCTCTGAAAGCCTCTGCTCTGAAAAATCTTGTTAAGGATACCATATACTGGCCCTGAAGGCTAGATACTGAGGTATTAAAAGTAATTAAGTAATTTGCAGACCTGGCAATTAATATTTTTATTAATAAAGTGAATGTAATTGATAACAATTTGGGAGCCGCTAAATTTGAGAACCAACTGTATCATTTGAAATGTCTCTTCAGAGTGGACCAGCATTGTAAATACAAAAGATTTTTAAATGTGCACATATTTTAGCAGATTTGCTTCCATCTGTGGATGGTTTTGTAGACAACTAGCTTAAAATGTATATGAATCTGTAAACATTACTACTATCTTTACCTGGATGGTGATGATACCTCACCCCCATCCAACCCCTCATTTTTTTGTTTTGCTCAGAAAGGGGAGAGTTACTGAGAGATAGAGAGGTGCATTTTTGGTGTAATTTTGTATTCAAAGCTAGGGTCGTAGAACTGTGTGGAGTTGTCCCCATAGCACAACTCCCCAGACAAAGATTTAATTCCATGTTCAAGCCAGGTACCAGAAGTTCTGGTCCTTATTCTGCTGGATTCTTGGAGATACTGCAGAAATCACTGCCTTGCACTAGGACAAGTTCCTGCCTGCAAAATCTGTCAATATCTTAGCTGTCTCTGTGAAGCAGTTGCTGCTGACATGCATGTTGTCTGTTTTTTCCCACAAATATGTACAAAATACTACAATTTTTTCAGGTAGTTTTTGAGCAGTAAAGGGAATACCAATATATATTCCAATAAGGAGCGTGTTTGCTCTGTGTACTGAAGGGGTGTGATGTAACCAGAGGTAACCTGCCACATTGCAGGGCTTGTGTTTTGGTCAAATAGTAGTAGACAAGTACCAAGGGAGGGGTGAGGCATACAGTCCTTTGGTGCCCTTTTAATGAGCTTTATGGCCCCTTTGAGAGATTTGGTGGTATGCGAGGTCTGCTGTAAATTTATAGAGGATTAGGAAATAGTTCTGCTGCATAAGCCCCCACATTTTTCTTAGGAGCCGTAACTTCTGTTTTTGACTGTCCATTCATTTTGGAGTGGCTGCTCTTAGTATACCTGATCATCATCTGTCGGGTTTTGCTGTTATGTTTAAAATGCACACCTTTAAACTGTAGAGCAGATGTGGGATGTGAAATATTTTTGTTAAAATCTCAAACTTTGTTTGGATGTTTATCAGGAAAGTGATATGCCAATCCAGGAGCTACTTAGCCGTTATGGCTATGATGGTACCATTCCACTCCAAGAAGATGATGATGATGATGATGATGAAGACGACGAGGAGGAGGGAGAAGATGATGATGATGTTGATAATGATGACAACAGTGGCTGTAGTGGTGAAAACAAAGTAAGTGTTGGCACTAATTTGAAACTTATTTTCATACAGCTGTTCTGTACTAGACAACCACTTGATGCCAGATCACGGCAGAAGTAATTCATAATATAGTTCATTTCAGATGCTTTGTGTACTGAACTCTAATGTTTATTCTTAATTACCCATCTGTATTTCTCTTCATTGCTCTTAATTTCATCTGTATCATTCCAAACTGTTGCTGTGGCAAATTAGGGTACATGTGTACGTATAGCATCATGTAAGAAGGGGTTGTAATTGTCCTTCAGAAATAGTCTGACTTCAAAACTGAAGTTTTAAATGCCTGAAGGCACCTTTACAGATATGGCTGAATACTTGTTTCAAGATGAAAAGCTGATCTACTGAAATTGAACAGTAAATCGTGGAATTGAATTAAATGTGTCTCCGAGTATTGGAGATGGCTGCAAGTTTTCTAGCTTTAGCATTTTAAATTGTATTTTTTCAGCCTGGCAGCCCTGGTTGTACTTAAATTGTTAACTGAATCTAGTGCTTCAAATAGCTTTGCAAAATGTATAGTTTTGAACTTAGCATCTTTAAAATCCTGTTCTGTGTGCTCTTAAAATAAATTTTCTGATTTTAGAAGAGTCTTTTCTACTTGCATATGTCATACATATTTGTAACAATCCTGTCCTGTCATGGGCACTGCTGTAACTTCTCCGTTACTGGTGGCATTGAGTTGCACCCTGAATTCCATTAAAACATGAAACCCTTTGTATTGTCAGTAACAAAAAAGCTTAGGCATTAATGGAAGTTGCATTACCTAATCTGGCTTTAAAAAGGGTGCATTTTGTTCTTTGATATCTTACCCATTTTAGAATCTCTGGAATGCAACACAGAGATGAGGAATGATATATCCGATTCAGAAAATGAACTTCTTAGGATTTACAAACTCCCTTGACAGATGCTGTAAAAGATTGCTATTTGTATGTGTTGAATAGTCCAGAAAGAAGAAAGACACATAGTTATATTAGATCTGAAAAGGTTCAAGAAGCTGGAGAGGGGGAGAAACTTACATAACATGAAATATGCAAAATGAAAAGAAGACACAAAAGCGGTTTATTTTGTTGTGCATTGTGGTGTTCCTGAAGTCCCACTTTCTTCTTGTGTCCTTGCTTCTTAATTACTTCCTGACACAGCTTCTATCTTCTGTGTTCTCATGACCTCTGTAGTTCTTCAGTTCTGTAACTAGCTGATTTAAGATACTGCCTATGTTTTCTCTTAAATGGATAAAATCTCAGTGTCTGTCACTGCTGTTAGCAGCAAGAGTCATCATCTTTGTCCCGCTGTAGGGCACTAACACTTTGTAGCGCGCTGCAGAAGCAAGTGCGTTCCTGCCCATCAGCAGCAACAGTTCAGAGTCTGGCACTGTAAACACAGCCAATGGGTTAGCCTAATTGCAGACTTGGCGCTGTGACTGAACTGAATGTATGTGTTCACCTATTCTACCCCAGTTTTGATAGGGTTGGAACAAAGGTGGTGGGGAGGACTGGGCACAAAGAGAGCTAGCTAACCTGTTATGATTGTTTGCCTCAGGGTACAAGAATGAGAGCTCCGAAATGCTTGCATGCTCTTAGCAGAGAGGCAGTAAAATACATCTGTGGGGGTGGAATAATTTTATAAATCATTCAAGCTTTCTCTGCAAGTGCTCATCTTTCTACAGCTTATTTAGCTATACTGCATTTAGCTATTTTCTATTTTTAATCTGCTTTAAGCTGCACATGTGATAATACTCTGGCTGCTGGTAAAGGTACACATAAACATGTGCTGTGTCTAATGCTTCTGTGTTAGAACTAGCAAGCATGAATGCTTACAACATAGTCATAAAACACATAAAAGATATTGACAACATGCATTGAACTAGAACACACTAATATATTTTTTAACCTTTATAATTTTAATTTTCCTTAATTGTAATAATTCTCATAGTTGTTGTGGTTTATCTTCTAATAAAGAAACTTGTTCTAATTTTTGATCTTTTAATGACTTGATGTACATACTTGAGCCTACTGATACGCTGTTCCTGTGGGGTTGAACCATGCTACTGACATTAATTTTTATGGAAGGTACCATTTCCATTTGATTGAGAAAAGTCCAGCCAGTAAATAATTCCTCCCCTTTTTTATTGAAAATTCATAAGGAAGGGTTTAAAAGACCAGAGTAAAATTTAAAGTTAGATGAAATTAAATGAAAACTACAAGGATTTGCTTGACTGATTTAAAACACTAGGCATGATATTTAATTGTGGTTCATATTTCCAATTTGTATGTTAGAGTCTGGGTTTTAAATTGATCTGCCTAAAATCCTGGTCAATAAATAATATGATGTGTTTACACATTTGTTGTGGCTCAGCCTGGACAGGCCACAATCTATACAGTCACTTCAAGTCAGGTAAAAGATACCTGGGTTTGATATATTGACAATTTTGGAAAAAATACTGCCAAAATATTGTTTGTCACATACAAAGGATATCTGATCTCCTGTTTGCTTTTATATATTTAAGGAGGAGACCATAAAAGATTCATCAGGTCAGGAAGATGAGACACAGTCATCTAATGACGACCCAGCACCATCTGTTGCTTCTCAAGATCCACAGGAGATAATTCGCCCTCGTCGATGTAAATATTTTGATACAAGTATGTACAGTTTAGTACTAAGCACAGTAATCTCAATGTGATTGACCTTTGGTTAAGACTGCTGCAGTTAACATGGTATTCTGTTTCTGAGGTATACATGTTGATAGCTATAAACATTTGTTTGTTCTCTTTCATAACACTGCTCTTGATTATCCTTATGCTCAAAATAATAGGCAACAAAAAAGTCCTATTTTTAGCTGAATGCTAAATCTTCTCTGCAGATAAGGGACTCTGTATAAGGACAATAGATACGCTCTCTTCTTAAAGGATTAGATTTGTGGAAAAATTTGAATTTCTACAGTTTTGAAAAAGCAGGCTCTTGGACAGTGCAAATCCTTTCATGACACTACTCCAAGTGTTGTAACAGTCCAGTTTATGATCCTGCAAACTGGTTTGTATGGATGTGCCCTTCAGAAAAATTTTCTTCTACATGGAGTCCAGGTGCGGTAAATAACTGTTTAGTATGGTATTACCTTACCATCATAGTTTCAGTAGTTTCAGCTGCCAGTTTGTACTAAGGACATAGGTAAGATTATTTGCAAGTAGGAAATGAACTGTTCCAACTAGATCATTGCTGCACAGTGCGTGATTTTCATGACAAGGCCCGGTGACACCAGTTTATGTACTCACTTAAAGAAGGTGAGAGTCCAACTGAAGGAAAAAGTAAAAAATGAAATTTACTAGAAGTAGAACCCCAGATTTCTTCAAGATCACTAATACAGAAAACAAAAGCAATGAAGTCTGAAAAAGGCCAATAGAAGAAATTTGCTTCAAGAATTCCACATTTGATACTGTTGCCAGCATTGTGGACTGATTCTTTTCTCTATTGTTTTGTTTAAAAATTGGTTTTGCATCCATTTGAGACTGTTGAGCTAGTGTTATGTAGCTGTCCCTGTAGACAGCTCTCATTTCTGTGGCAGTCTTACTTAATGGAATCTGAACCTTTTAGTATTGAACTATCAGCAGAGCCATTTGGACAGCAAATATCTTACCTTTCCTTGGTGGAAGTGACTGTCATTGATGTTTGAATTCCTACTGTTCTATGTTTTAACAAACGCGAGTTAAAGCAAAGGTTTCTTATGATACCTTATTCTTGATACTAATTAGCCGTGACATTGTAGAAATGTTATTTTCTAATCTGTAGTTTATATTAATCCAAAAATGCCAAGGAACCTCAGCATGTAGCTGTGCAGAGGATTGCAAGTATCTTAAATGAACTCTATTTTTTTAAACATAACATTAGCATTAGCATAATGCAAGTGGATTGCATTAGGTTTTGGGTTTTTTACAATGTTCAGCTGCGTGTAGAAGGTAATTTAATGTACAGATAATTTTAGTGCCGATACTGTCACATGCTGTATATAAACCATATATTGCAGTTGCTTTCAGTACATCGTGAAAGGCAAGTAGCCTATATCGTAAAGAGCTTAAAATTTTTGTCAGTCCTTATCCAAAATAATCTATTTTAAATGCTGCTGTGCATCTCTGAGCAGTACATCCAAGGCTACTAAATCCCAGTAAGACTGAGAATAGCACACGTGCAGATTTCTCACACCTTGTGCTGTAGTCTACCTTAAATTCAGTGACAGCTGCTGTAAGGGAAAAAGAACAGCAGTAACTAAGCTAGGAGCTCATTGAAAATGGTGTTGAAACCCACATGCTGAACATCCACATAAAAATACTTTCAGAAAGTAACTGTAGTAAATTTGGATGTAAATCATCTCAACTGCTTCGAAGCTGGGTGAGGGAAAACAAAGTTTAATTAAGTAGTAGTAAAATTGATGGATGTATTAATTTCTGTCTTAACTTTTCAGAGCCTGTTGTGTATCTTAATCCATTCTAAATGTAAACATCGGGTGGGTCATTTTTTAAAGTTGTCGATACAGAAACATTTGGTATTGCCACTAAAACTGCCGTTTGCTGCTATGTGGCTGGAGGCTGGTGGGATGAGAGGCTGGGCTCGTGTGCCCCCGTCACCCTTGCTGTGGTGTCCCCAGGAGCTGGCTGTGACGTCCCGGGCCCCCTTGCTCAGCCCACTTTACTGGAGGCTGGTGTTGGCATGCATGGGCCCCATCACAGTTCATTATGTGTAAATGATTGAATAATTTCTTGTAGATAGTGAAATAGAAGAGGAATCTGAAGAAGACGAAGATTATATTCCCTCAGAAGACTGGAAAAAGGTAAATACTAAGTGCTGTTAAAAAAGCCTGTATTTCATGAATAATGAGTTGATCTGTTACCTAGTAACTCTGAGCTCTATAGATCACCCAAATCCTCTGTTTTTTCCCCCATAAATATAAGAGTTTTGATAGTAAGGAGTGTTAAAGACCTCCCCAAATAGTCAAAAAGCCATTTCCATATAGTGCCTGTTAACTATATTTTTACGTTTTGAACAATGAAAGTTTTAAGGGGTAAAAAAAGATGTCATCATTCTCTTGTTTGCTAACAAAAAGCATCACAGCTGTGATTGCTTACTTCTTGTTTCTGTTACTTCAAAACAGGAAATCATGGTGGGCTCTATGTTTCAAGCTGAAATTCCATCTGGCATATGCAAATACAAAGATAATGAAAAAGGTGAGACTTAGCACTATTACCATTATCGCTGTGTTTGAGATTATTTTCTAATGGGGAGAAATAAAAGATTTGATTGATGTCATGTGTCTTGCAAAATAAAAGAGCCCCTTCAAGTGAAAAATAGAACCATCACCTCAAACTATAGTTGATCCTGTATTTCACCATGAGAGCGTGAGTCTTGGCAGGGGCAAAGAAAGATTGTATTGCTGGCCTATTGCCTATTGAACCCTTGTACTCCAATTTGGTAATGTACACAAGCTTTCTGTGTAGCTTATGTTAACCTCTTCACCTAGTATATTTAGTTTATGTAAAGCAAAATAAATAATAAAGAAATTGTGTTGCTGGAATTGGATTAACACGTTGGAAGAGGCAAAATGGTACCAGTAGCTTTGATTTTCACATTTTATAACTCTTCAATCAGTATTAAAGAACCGTTCTACTTTTGGGTTTTTTTCCAGGAACTTTTCCCCCCCTCACAAGCAGAGCCTGTGGCTGTATGCTGTGAATATAATCAAGTCAGGAAAGGTAGACCCAGTTTAAAGTGAGCTGTGAGCTTAAAAGAAGCAAATTTTCCTGCTCATTCAGCCCATTACTAAGAATTTGTTTACACTGCAGGTCAGTTTGAGACTGCGGCTTTTGTAGTTTTGTATAAGCTAGTTTTTAAGCTAACCAGCACAAAACTTGGTGCCTTCCTAGAATCCAAGTATATACTCAAGTAGTAGCAGTTGTCTTGCTTCAAGCTCCAGGTTGCGGTAGCTGCACTGTAGCCTGATCTAGCTAGAAACTGTCTAAAAAGAGTATCAGTCCTGATACTGACTTAGAGCAGGCTCACACTGAAGCTGATGCATTCTGTCAGCTCTGGACTTCGTAGCCAGAGACGTTGAAGAGAATGTAATTTAAAACTACGTGAGAAGTCAGGAGCTTCTATTAAAAATAGAAAATGGAGAATTAGAAAACATCTGCTTTTTGGCTGTGAAGAAGTTGCTCTTTGCATGTTTTCCTGCTTCTGTCTGAAAATAGAGCTTGAACTATGTATTTGCCTGAGATGCAGTAAATTGTGCTTTACTAGTCAGTCACCTGCTTTTCCTGGTATTTACTCAGCTCTAGATGGCTTCTGGCCTCCAATAATAAAAAAAGATATAGCTGCTTTGTGCATTGCAGTAACCTATATAAAACAGTTTTTCATAGTCTTGCACACTACTCAGTAGAACAGAGAACTTATGTCATGGACAAACAGTTGAGAGGAAAAGTTGGGGCTATTCTAGTTTTATATACCAGTGGGGTTTTCTATCTTCTGCCACTTCCTTCCTTTCTGCTGTGTCTTGGATGTAATCTTTGACAGGACTCTAACTGGAATATTAATGAAGCTTAAAAAGTTGAAAAATATATGTCTGAAACTGTGTTTAGTAGTTTCATGTACATATCCCATCATCTTAGTTGTTCTCTAATGAAGGAGAAATTCTAATCGTAAAACTCCCAAACCCTAAGGCGGCTAGTCCTTTCATATCCAGTCCCATAAGCAAAAGCACAGAAATGCTAGAACTCTTAAGAGTAACCACATTGCTTTTCAGAATGTGTTCTGACATGCTGTTGTGAGGAAAGAATGACCATGTAATCTACACTAAGCTAATTGCAGTGGACTGGCTCTCTGAGAATTATGCCTGGAGACCAAATTAGCTGCTACTAAACAATTTCAGGTTATTAAAAATCTACAAAATTAAAAGATAACGTTTTCAGAAGGCTTGGACTTGAAAATCAGAGGATAGCTCTGAAAACTGGAAGGTGCTGAAGCTGCTTTGAGACTTACTGACCACTGTCATTCATTAACATTGTGGTGTACTTAGCTTGCATCATTAAGGGTGGCTTAGAACCAATTATCAGTTATCTTCTGGAAAGAATTGTTGCTTCTGCTGGAGTTTGTATCCCAAGATGCCTGGAATCTTTTTCTTAAATGAGCAACCAAACATCAGATTAGGACTAGCTTTTGGAAAAAAAAAAAAAAGCTCCCAGAAAATTGTTGCGAGCTGTTTCCAAAGAGTATGTCGTTTGTAAAATGGAGCTATCTTTCTTTGTAAGACACTTAATAATTTTCCTTACCAGTTTTGGTTTTTTTTATTTTTAGTCTACTTTCATGTTAAAAATAATATTTTCCAAGTGGAGATGCACCTAGCCGCCACTCTGACCTTTCCACCTGCACAGAATGCTACCGTATCTTCCCTTCCTGTGCTGACCATGCTTTCCCAAGTGTTCACTCCTTCTTTCTCTTGTTGAGTAAGAGTCAAAGGTGCTCACCGAGCTAATGGAATCAATATTAAAGTTACTTTCTTGCTGGTTTTTGTAAAGTTGTCCTTCATTGAGGACTGAGACACAAGCAAGGTCTGGATACTTTCCTGATTCTGTTTTTTAATAACCTGAATTTTACTTTATTTTGCTGTACTGGTATTTTCATCCTGTAAAGCTTGTAGGTTCTTCAAAATAAAAATGGGAGATAATTCAGAGGATGTATCATTTGGCCATGTTTCTCCCATTAATTTGCGTTTACTATGGCCTGGTCTGAAAGCTCAGGCAAAAGCTCTGAAAAAACCAGCAGAGATTTGGTAGTATTAAAATTCAGTTTTATTTACCTGAATGATTTTGGTTTAGAAAGTATTTCTTGGAAGTAGTAGGAAGGTCTTAGCAAAGTTTCCTTTTGGGAGCTGTTTGACTTCAGAACGTCTGGCATCTGGGTGTCATCTTCCCTGGAGAAGTAGTGGACCTTGTTGCTGGCTTTTGCCAGCCATGTTAGCTAAGACTTTTATATTTAGTGGTCCAGACACCTGCTAGAGTTTTTAGCACCATTTTTGGTGATGTGCTTTTTGGTTTTATGTGAGTGATCATAATCGTCTTGCAAGAAAACAGATATAATTAGTTTCTGAAATAGTTTTCCGTGTCTGCTGGCTGCCATCAGCAAAACTGTGCTGCTTAGGGAAAAGGCATGCTGGATCGATCGTTCAGGGACTGTGTTGGGGAGTGCTGCTACCTCATGATTTGAGTGGCTTCAGGAGGGGGACAAGGAAGGTAGTTTCATAACTACCTGGAGTTTCATAAATGGGTCCTAGAATCCAAAGCACTGATTGTGCCAGAGATTTGAAGACAATATAAGGTATAGTATCCTGGTCATTTGGATCACTGCGACTATCTTTTCCCTGTCCTCATGTGTGTTCTGGATTAATGTTGGTGCTCTAATGATCTTCCAAGGTTTCATAATCACTAGCATTATAAGAGAGAATAAACTTCTATATTTTTGGTTTAGCTTTTTTAAATTTTTCCTGTGGTTAATTCAGTGTATGAAAACGATGACCAGCTGCTGTGGAATCCTGACTTCTTACCAGAAGATAAAGTGATCGAGTTCCTAAATGAAGCGTCGAGGCGTACGGGTGATGAGAAAGGCCTAGATGCAATTCCTGAAGGATCACATATTAAAGACAATGAGCAGGTATATAAGAATCATTAGGATTTGTAGTTTAATATTGCAGAATTAATTATCACTTTATTTTATTTTATTTTACTCCCAAGAATTAAAATTGCTTTTGAAACAGCTTTATTATTCCTTGTGGAAATAGAAATGTGATGGGTATTTTTCCTCTCAACAAATATTGAACTGTTAACTTAGGTTTAACATTGCTTGATGTATCAATGCATTATTTTATATATAAATAATTATGTATGAATGAGTCCTGTTCTTTCAGTTACACATTTTTTTAAAGTGGTATGAATGCATACTTTTTTTTTTTTCCTTCATAGAAAAAAAAACCCATTAATTGTACAAATGTATGCAGTGGATGAAAATGTTAAAACACTTTACCTGAATGTATACTTGATTATGTAATTAGACATTTGGAAATTTAAACAGAGGAAAAATGTCTTTGTACTGTCTTAAATTATATTACATTCATTCAAAGAGTTTATTTTCAATCTTTTCTTAATAGGTGTTAGTGATTTCCTAAGTATACTTCTGTGGCACAACATAAATTTAGTGGTATCTAGAATGTTAAATGTGTGTCTTTTCATCTTTCCAGGCATTGTATGAACTGGTTAAGTGCAATTTTGATACTGAAGAATCATTACGAAGGTTGAGATTTAATGTAAAAGCAGCCAGAGGTGAGCAGACACTGAAAGTTAAGTTCATATTGTTGAACTCTGGTTTTATTTGTTACACAGGTATTGGGTTTTGCTGTCAACAGACTGAGCTTGCCTGCATGTAAGCCTTAAATATCCGTGCCCATTTAAATGCAACCTTCAGTGAATCATTGTTCTCTGAGAGAATGAAATTATCAGATGTAGTATAAACAGGTACATGCTCATGGAGGGTGTGTAAATTAACTTCCTGTCAATACAGCTTGATATTTATATATGTGACTTTAATAAGAAGTTAAAATTTAAAATTACTTCTTAGCAACTGAATTGTACATTTCTTGGGCATTTTGTTCTTCTAGACCTTTTCAGTCATCACAGTTAATGGAACACACATAAAATATAAAATGAAATAATTCACAATTCTAAATAAAGGAGAATGAGCAGCTAAATCTTTTATTTAAAAAAGTGTTACACTCAAAAGACCCTGGTCTTAAAGATGCTTTTGGAGCCTTAAGCATTTCCTGCTTTGGTATTGATCTTTATACTCAAAGGAACAAGAAACTAAGAGAAGGCACAAGTTATTTTCCTTCCACATTGATCTGTTGGTTCTTCTTTCAAACCTGTGGCTTCTCCAGAGTTTACTGTGCAAATCACAAGACAAGAATGGTCAAATAGAGAAGATTAGTTTGTTCTCTCACTACTTTAATCCTTATTTATTCGTGACCTTAAGAATCAATAAGGCCAAATTATATTAAGTTCTTAGAAGTGTGGCTGAAAGTTATTAGGGGTTTATTCTGGCTTCAGTGAGGCCAAGGTTTCCCACCCGATAGTATGAGCAGCACAGTTTCTTTTTCTTTCTAACTGGAATTAACAGCTTATCATTGCTGGTTCTTGCCAGCATTAAAGAAGATCTCATTTCTCATTCCTTTTCCCCTGCTTCTTCCAAATACCAGCAACCAGTTTGAGTCCATAGTATGAACTCCTTCTTGCTGTGTGCTGGCTTGAAGGATACCTGCTTCCTGTGGTTCTAGGGGCAGAACGGTGAGATGAAGTTTCTAAGCCCTTCCTCTTTCTGCTGCCTAGTTATTTCCCCCATGCGGCAGGGCTGGAGTTACGGACCGTTTATAATAGTCCCTACCAACAAGCTACTTCAGGCAGCCAAGTTTCCCACCTACTCACTAGAAGGGAGAATTTTCATTTTTGTACCAGTAAGTGAAATTTCTGGAGGTGGTTCTCATTTAGTCAGCAGATGGTGTAAGAAACTTGAATACCACGTTATGTTTTCTGTCACTTAAGTTTTCTTTTATTGGCCGTATGCTTTTTTGTTAAGTATTTTCTTTATTGCATATCCTTGCTATAGAAGAACTATCTGTTTGGACAGAAGAGGAGTGTAGGAACTTTGAACAAGGACTGAAAGTCTATGGCAAGGATTTTCACGTGATTCAGGCAAATAAGGTAAACACTGATTTTAAGTGTAGTTCTCGCATTTTTTTAAAAGCAGCGTAGTTGTAAATAAATTCTTATCCTCAATTTCCTTCACAAATTACTGTATTTACTACTTCTCATTTTTACTACATATACATCCAAATTGGTTTGTTGAAGTCCAGAATCCTCTGTAACTGTGGCTGTGAATCCTAAGTTCAGAAAAGTGAAAAAATCCTTCTGGGCATACATACAGGAAGATCTGCATCCCTAGAATCTTATTCTGGTCTTGAATAGACTAGTGAAACAGGCTTGAATAATTCTTCTGAAGCTGTTGATTGTGGCACCTCACGATATCTCCAGTATTCTTAGCAACACTATTAAAATTTGCATTTCAATTTGTGGGCTTCTGAAATTTTGAATCAATAGTTTCCACTATTTCCTATGTTGTATAAAGGTCTTTGAATTCCACACCTTTTGATTTAAATGGTAGCTTTTTGCCAAAAATGTATTTAAATTCATCAAAATTTGCATGGCACATATTTCCTAGGTACGGACAAGATCAGTTGGTGAGTGTGTAGCATTTTATTACATGTGGAAGAAATCAGAGCGTTATGATTTCTTTGCGCAGCAGACCCGATTTGGAAAGAAGAAATACAATCTTCATCCTGGTGTAACGTAAGATGTGCATTATTTTTATGCGCTTTTACATGTTGGATCTAAATCTTTATTTTAAACTGCTCTAATCTGAAATGGTATGACAACCTAGGGATTCCAGAATCCCAATTTGCAGCAGGAAAACAGCCAAGGTGTAAGAAAAGCTTACTAGTGCATATAATGTAATTTCTAAAATACATTTATTGGGAATAAGGCCAACAATTTGCATTGAACAGCTATTTAATTTAGTTTGTTTTCTGTTTAAATGTTTCACAAATGTAACATTTCTGCAAATATGTGGAATTTTTTAAATGCTTGTTTTACTTTAAATACACATTTTATACAAAGGCGTTAGTCACAAGTTTCAGGTGGGGTTTGTGGTACATGCTGTAGTATCCTTTTGAAATGTATTGTTTGGCAAGAATTCTGGCCAACAGAGTACCCTATGCTAGGGCTTTTTTGGGTGTATATAGCTCCTTTCCCCATTCACATTTCTGATAGGCAAAGAGGGAAATGTCTGTGCACAGCTGTGTATTTTCCTCCCTCAAATCTGAGCAAGTGAGCCAATGTATTCTGCCCTTCATTCCAATGCTATGATTTTAGTATCCCACTCTTTCCGCTGACGTTCTCCAAGTCTTTTTACTATTATTTTTTCCTCTCATTTGTTCCTGGCTTCTCTTTTGATCCTTTTTAATAGTATTGTTTCTTTAAACACTTTAGAACTGTGTGTTGGACCACTGAAGTGAACTTGCAGTATGACATTAAGGGTTGCCGTCTGTGGCTTTGTAGACTGTTATAGAGAAGCACCCAGAGCTGCTGGATTTTCTTAACCGGTTGTCAGGGACTGTCTGTCTCCCCCTCTTCTTCCATTTTTGCCCAAATTAGTAGACATTTTTGGTTGCTAATCACTTAAAACATTCTCTGATTCTTTTGCAGTTGACTGCATATGGTGATCAGAAGAAGTGTCATTAAGGACTGTACTTGTCTATTCTTGAATGCTTTTGCAGATAAATGTGGGAATTTAGGGTGCAGTATCCATTCCAGAATAATTATGTGTGAGGATATGCTGTTTCTGGAGTTAATCCAGGCTAATACCATATGTAGAAGAGCTTTACCAACCAGCTTTGTTTGTTTAAATCTTTCATTAGAGATTTACTATTAGTGACCTAAATTGTAGGACTGTAATAGATTTCCGATATGGAAATGTCTTATCTTTAACTCTGAAGTTTTAATTTGCTTTTAACTTTACCCCTTTTGAGGTTGTATGTGCACAAAACTTATTTAATGGTATATTATCACTGCCACAGCAAATTGCAAGAGCTTAGTATGAACCTGCCTGAGAGCATCACCTTGAAAATATAGTCTGCAACATCACAGCATATTGAAGTTTCTGCTTGTGCATGATCTTATGGGACTTAGCATAAGCACAGGCTGAATTTATATAAGCTGGCTGCAGTGATTTGTCAACAAATACGTAGTTGCTGTGGACAAACCATACATGGGCCAGTTAATGCAGGACATCTTAAAGTCGTTAACTTTGCAAGATAAGTCTGTGCATTTCAAAAGATATAAAACTAATTGGTCACACTTGCAGTATATGCAGTGAGTATTTTTGTACAAATAACATCAATCCTATACACAGTAAAGGCAATGCTGAACGCGCTGTGTCTATTGTGTAGGGATTATATGGACCGTCTCCTGGATGAAAGTGAAAGTGCTGCTTCCAGTAGAGCTCCGTCCCCTCCTCCTACAACTTCCAACAGCAGCACCAGCCAGTCTGAAAGGGAAGACAGCACAACCAGCAACAGCAATCAGAATGGTAAGTGTGTGCCCTGTCCCTCCTAAACAGAGTTGTCAAATCATCGCAGATGACAAGCCAAATGAGAAGTTCAGCTTGCCTCTCTAAAAACAAGTCTGTTTTTGTTTTAAATATTTTCCAGGGTGTTAGCAGCTTTAAGCTAAAAATGTTTTTTAAAAAAGCTACATGTTTGCATTTAGCCAGTGGTCATATATTGAAGATAAATCTCCACTAGAATCTTCCTTTTAAATGTAAACAATCTGTTATTGTCTTCCCCATGCTGGTATAGTGTAACGCTTATGTTGTGAGGAGTCCCGTGAGGGATATTTGAAACAACTGAGGTGGGAACTGGGCTATCATGCAGGACACTAGTGCTTCTCTGGTACTTGGCTCAGGGACACCGTTAGCTATTCTTACCAGACATGGGGCATTGAAGGGCAGTCAGGAATGGGAGAAGAGCCAGGGCATGATCACTTGTGAAGAAAACCTCAAAAGCAAGGGACAGCCGTTCTGAAGGAGCTGAAGTGAAAGGAGTAGCAAGAGAAGGGAGGAGCTTGGGGGCTGAATAGCATTGTGAAAATCAAGTGGAAGCTACAGAAACTGCCCAGGTGAGTTCAGTCCACCTGCAGCTTGTACAGTTATGGGATTCCAGGACGTTTTATTGGCTGCTGTTGCTTGTAGGGGCTTCCATAAACCCTGTCATGATATGTCCATCATTTGTATGCAAATAAATCACTCGTTCATCACACAGTGACAATATGGAGAATGATACTGGCTTTTTAGTTCAATGGGACTAGTTAGACTTCTGCTTTATTGACCTATCACAGATTGTTCTGTTACTGCTTACGCTTCTGTCCTCTTTCTTATGGTATGTCTCTGTAATGCAGGGGTGTCTGCTAATGGGCCAGGTGAGATACCAAATAAAGATGAAGCAAAAATTGAAGGATTGCATGTAAATGGACCTACCAGTGGCAAAAAAACACCTCACACGGATCTGGATACAAATGGGTATGAAACTGAAAACCTTTCCATTGACCCAAAACTTGCTCATTCAGCTTCAAGAAATGAAAATGATTTTGAAGAAAAAAATGAAAGACCTCTGAAAAGAAGAAGAATTAACAGCAATGGAAAAGAGAGTCCAGGTTCTTCAGAGATCTTCCAAGAAGCAAACTCACATGGGAAGCTTGAAGAACTAGAAACTTTGGATGACTGAATACTAGGAGCTGATTTTATTCCTTGGAGTAAATTTTGGGTGTCTAAAATTTTCAGGGTTGATGGGTTACCTTACAAAATCCAGTTCCGTAAAACAATCTGCTGAGATTTTTTCTGATACCTTCTAGTTGGCTCTTAAGATCTGATTATTTGTTTTTTTCAGTGCTGAAAAGCAGTAGGAGAATATTCCATTTCTCAGAGCTGGCAACTGTAGTTCTGGGAACTCTAAGGCTCTTGAAAATATTTGAGAAAGAAATCAGTGAGTTTCTGCAAAAATACTCCCAGCCTAATACATTAAAGAAATTTCTGTGTGTAATACGCTATTTAAGCATTGTACAAGTGAACAAAGCATCCTATTTGAAGCAGAGGGCTGGTTCAAATGTTGCAGGAAGTTAAAATGAAATACAGAATGCCAAGACACGCATCACAGTAGGCACAGAGACTTCCACTCATGCTAGCAAGAGAAAAGTGTCATCCCATTGTTAAGGAACCCTTATGAATCCTGAAAGTTATGAGCACAACTATTTTTATATATAGAAGTTTTAAAAGGTAAATAAATAAACCAGGTCAGGTTTGTATATGTAAAATTGTTGACATCAATGATGTCTTTCCATATTCTTTATCTGGGCTAAAGAAATACATTCTGTATTTTTCCAGATTTCTTTGTAGCCTTTGAAAGATTTTTACAGTACTTATGTCTTGATTGAACTGTCCTTTCTTAAAACAAAAGCTTGTATAATTTTCTTAACTTGTACAGTTGGTAAACTTTTATGAGAGAATTGATATCCTGAGTCTAATGTCAGCTTAATTTTATTTTGCTGAAGTCTTTTCTAAAAAAAAAAACCAACAAAAAAAACCCAAACCAAACCAATTGACTTAAAAACTGCTTATTAGTCACCAACATGTTATTGTCTTCTCAGAAAACAGTAAACATCATCAAGAATGGTTAGAAGTCATTTGATTTTGAAAACATGATTTTTTCTTACTTCTATTTATGGCAAATAGTGATGCTAAAAATTTGTTAAGCATGATGCTTGCGTTGCACAAATTTTCTAGCTTTCATTATACATTTTCTCATTTTATTTTGAGCTCAGATAAATTTCACTTCAGCCAAATGCTTAAGTTTACTAAACCTTGTTTGCCAAGATCAGGTGTTAGATTATCCATTGATTAATTTTCAGTCTATCAATCATCTTCTACATTTCACTGAGCACAGGAAGAGTAGGAAGTGGGTCAAATGATTCTGGCTGTACATGTTAGAAATGGACGTGCAGCTGGTAACCTGATCTTGAGTTTCTGAAAACTAGTGGACCTTATATGGATGGGTATTTCAGTGGGAGCAGAAACATCACATACACATACTTGGTACAGCATATACACATACATACATTCAGTATATAGCGATTCAGATGGGTAAGAAGTGAGAGTAGGTATGGATAACTATTTTAAGATTAAAGTGCGAGAAACGAAAATTCTTTATAAATGCGTGTGGAGGGGGTGATGCTCACTGTCCCACTAGCATAATTTGAAAGTTGTTGAAGTAGGGTTTACATCCATGAAATAGAAAGACTTTTAATACCAGTGTTTCAGGTTTTTTTAATTTTTTTTAAGCCACAGCTACACATCTACTATATTAAAAATAGGAAAAATTGTTCATTTGTATAATTTATAATCTTATCTCCTCCTCCTGTGGCTTACAGGAGCACTGTTAATTTTTAATTGGTTTTTTTTACTTAAAGTTTATGAGTCTTTATGATTCCAGTTTTAAATGTAGGGTCCTATGGTTTGAGACTAATGTATTGACCTAAAAAAACCCAACTGCTAAGGGTTTTGTTTGTTTTGTTTTCTTCTTCAACTACGTGTACTTGGACTTTATGTTCATTCATGAGCCGAGTCCTCTGGATCCGGTGTGGCTTCATCACCATGATGAGTTACTGGAGTGTATTAACCTGCTGTTCCCAGAAATGTTGTGAATGATCCGTTCTAACTGGTTCAGCTGACGTGCAGAAGGTGACATCTGCCTAGAATTAGACAGCAATTTATGTGGAGAGGCACATCAGTAAGGTTTGTTAACGTATGGCCTGCATTAATCAATTAATTAAGTGATTGCTTTAGTAAGAGGTTGCTGTTAATTTTACAAGCTGGTTTATTAATGGAAACCCAAAGCATCACAGCCTTGTATCAAAGACGGTCTTGAGACGGTTTCAGACTGAGGGTAGTGCAGTGCTTCTAAGAGTCTTTGCAACTCGAGTCCTGTTTTCAATTTTATTTTTATGCCTTTTTGTTTGCAAGTTGGAAATACTTCCAAAAATTTATAGGAAAGTTTATAAGTAAATTGTCTCAGGCTTGTGTGTGAAATACAGCACTGTGTATGTTTTCAGGAACCTTGCTTTGTTTTTTTACCTTAACTTTTTTTGGTGATACGTAGATGAGACCTGACATTCCATAATCAACAAATATGTAATGCTCAGCTAGACTTTAAGAATATTTAATTATAATTTACATTTTGTTTATGCTGGTGTTTTATACAATACTTTGTTCATGTTCTTCAAAATGCAGCCACTATAACTTCGTAAGTCATTGCACTACTAAAGCTATTTAAAATTCTAGAAATATATTATTTCATTTAAAAAGCTTTCAGTACAGTTTGGAGCCCAGTAAGTGTTTGAACGTGTTTCCGAACTGCATTGGAAAGGTCACAACTAGCATGTGACACTTGGGTATGTTTTTCAAGCACCATTGTGATGGGTTCAGCTGGAGCAGGTGTCCTGGATTCATGAAGCACTTCAAGAGTGCAGCCTGAACAGAGAATCCAGTTCAACAGCATAAATCTTTGCTGGGCTTCCTAAAGGATTAAATGTGATACTAAAAAACCAACCACACACACACACACACACACAAAATTTACAAATTAGTTTTATACAATTTTCCACACATAGTAATTTTGCACTGTTAGTAATTCCCGTCTCTTATCCCTGGTCCCTGTCTGCAATTCTGAAAAAGCTTATTAAAATATTTTTTTAAACATACTGTCTGCATAAAAAAATTCCTGAGTTTTTTTTGCTCAAAACAGCGGGTAGAGTATTTCTGCTTACAGAGGATGTCAAGACCCCATCCTGTTGTAGCAGCGTGGTAGTGACTCTCTTAATGCTGTGGTGAAAAACCACAGGAACAAACTTCTCTTCTCTGGTTTAACTTTGACCTGTTTCTTTCCATTCCCAGGGCCAGCCAGAGCAGTTGTAGACAAGGGCCAGGCATTACTCTGAGCAGCGGGAGTCAGCCGGCGGAGAGGTGGGGTTTTGCTGTACACTTTAATGTAAAGGCAGCATAATGTAAAGGAGGGCAGAGAAGAGGGCAAGTTTGGTGCTGCCACCCAGGACAAGGAGAGGTAGCCGTGGGTTAACTGAACAGTTAATTTTTATTTCTAAGTCAAAGGCCTGGTAAGTGACAACAACACTGTTAACTGCCAGCAGAAAGCCCCAGGCAGGAGGTGCAGCAGTGCCCTGCTACAGCACGAGCCAGGTTGCTGATGCTGGGACTCAGGAGCAAAAGTTGTTGCTCTCGTTGCCCCCCTGGGCAAGCCAGCTCACCCTGTGCACCGTGGTTGCTGACGGGGACCAGTGTGGGCTCCTTTTCTGCAGTTGTCTTGCACACAGAGTTTTTTGGGAGCATTAAGCACCTCATGGAGTGCTCCACCCCCATAAAACACATCAGTTCAGGCTAGCTGGCAAGAAGGAAAGGGACTGATTTTAGCAAGGCACTAGGGTTTTTTTTTGTTTGGGGTCCCCCCCCCCATTAGATACTTTTTCCTCTTCCTATCCTCAAAATTTAAACTGAAAACCCAAGAGAACTCCCTCACCTCCCCCTCCCACGTACCAGAAGACACGCAGAAGGGATGACAAACATGCTGGGGTGCTGGGGGAGCCTCAGCACCTTCATCAGCCGCTTGCCGCTACAGGAAAGCAAGGCAGAAGGCAAGAGCAGGCGGGGTAGGAGGAGAGAAGGTCACTGGTTTATTTGAAGCCGGTACAAAAATACATAGGCACATAAAATCTTTTTTTTTCTGCTATCATCACTGATTTACATAAAAAGCCTGCCATACATTCAAATAAAAAGGTCACCCTTTTAATCACTAAAATGGTCATTTTGTAAATAGATTCTATATAGAAAAAATTTTAGTCGAATAATAGCATAGAAAATACTGTTGTAGGAACTCTGTTCTCTTTCCCAGTGTATACAATACCATCCAGGCCCCACTGAAGTGTGCACAGTTACAAACAAAATAAGCTTTAAAAATATTTTACTGTTTGGACAATAAATCTAACCAGTAGATTCAAAAATAAACAAAAAAACCCAAAACTTTTGCTAGAACTGACATCCTGACTGTGAATGCCTCAGCACAGCAAAGTTACAAGCAAATGTGGCAAAAACTGATTTGCAAATATTTTTGTTCAAGCAAGCGAGACAAATGCAGAGGCCTGGCTGAAGGACAGGGGTTTGGTCTGGTACAGCGCCAGTGAAAGCACAGGGCAGAGAGGGCTGCGGTGGCTGGAAGCTGCAGGGAGTGGGGGAACCCAGGATGGGGGTCTGCCAGACCCAGTACCACCCAGCTGCTGGGAACCAGTGCAGGGACCAGTAACCCCCTGCCCTGGAGCTGATGTGTGAGTAGCACTGGGTCTTCTGCACAGCAGGAAGCATTTATCGTCTTTCCCAAAAACCAAGAGCTCTGCAGCTGATTGCAAATCCGAGGCTTTACTGAAATTTAGGAAGCAATAAAAATGATTGGGGAATTTTTTTCTTTCTCCAATTCTGCACTATAAGGGGGGAAGCCCCCCAAAAGGGCTGCTCCTCGCTCTGGGACTCAGCCCTCTGTGCTGCCAGGTGCTTTATAAATGTAGTAACCAGACCAATCCCCCACTGCACCCATTCAGCATCCTGCTGCCCCCCCAAAAGGGAGCCCCCCGGAGGGAAGACCCCGGCTACATTGTGGAGACATCAGCTCCAGCACACCTGGCCAGAACAACTCCAGGGATGGGATTTTGGAGCAGGCAGCAGTGTGGGGGCCAGCAGACTCATTACACATCTTTACCAGCACTGTTAGAGAAATTCTCAGTCACATATAAAAACTTCAATATTAAGCACTCCAATAAATGCATCTTTGCCAAACAGCAGTTACATTTTTAGCAAGTATCTTCCACAAACAAATTATATTGTCTATAGAAGCTGTTTTCCTGGTTACCAAAGGAATGTATACAAAAAAACCTCATATAGCTTTACCAAAATTTTTTGTTAACCAGAATTACAAACAATTCTTTTTAAACCAAAAGACAATCCAAGGAGAGACCTGGAAAGAAGTGCTGTGTCAGACAACCTTTAAAAAAAAAAATCAGTTAAAACTGCCTGACATATTAAAAAAAAAAAAAACCCATTCTTTTAATGGGTCACAAACCGAAGACAACTTACTACATCAAAAAACCAAACTGCGGGCCAGGGCTTGGCCAAAGCTGAAGTGCTGGTGCTGCAGCCTGGGCACACGCCACATGTGCTTGGTGCTGCAGGGATGAGCAGCAGCACCCGCAGAGCCACCCACCCCGCCAGCCCCGCGAGTTTCCCATTGACTTACCAAAACAACACGATTGAACATGGTGCTGGTGGGTGGGAAGGGGACTGCAGGGGCAGGAGCCGCAACCTTCGCTTTACAGCGGATTTTCTGGACCGAAGGAGGAGGCTCTGTGTGCCAGGTGGGACAGCGTCAGCTGTCCTGCAAACCCTGCCGCTACTCCCCGTTGGACCTGAAGTGCCCTGCAAGGGTCCCTGCACCAGGGCCAGCCCCGGCACAGCCAGCAGCTTTCCCACATCCAAAGGTTTCTGACCCCAGGGTTGTCTGAGGGAGGCTGCTGGCCCTGCCGAGCTCACCAGTGGCAGGTAAAATCTTCATGTGGGGAACATCCCTGAGCCCCGTAAAAGCAACCTCGGGCAGGAGAGGGGTGAATGTTTGCAAGGCTCTTGGAAACCAAGGAGGGTAAACCCCGCTTTAAAAGTGGGTTAACAGAACAGCAACAAAAAAAACCAAACCAAAAAACAACTAACAAATGGAAGTTGAGAGAGCACTGAGCATTCAACAAAGGGGGTTTGGCCCAAACCAAGAGCATCCTGCAGAAGCAGCTGTACTGGGGGAATAACCAGTGCTCACCTCGCATGGGCTGCAACACCGCAGCTCCCCTCCCTCTGCTCCACTCTACTCCGGGGAGAGGAGGGGTTCACCTTCCCCTTGGGGCCGGATCTGTGCTAGGTACCACGGTCTCACCTTCCTGCAGCAGCAGCAGCATGTGCTGCCCAGCCTGAGGGACCAGGCTGGGGGAGGCACAGAGCAGAGCCAGCCCCAGCATCCGTCCCAGGCTGCGCCCACCGCCTTGGTGGTGGCTGCACCACGAGATGCAGCCAAGGATGCTCAAGGTACGGCCCTCTGCTGACACAGTCCTCTGCGATTCAAACACATACGCTGCTTGTGCCAATCTCTACTGCCAAATCTCAGCATGATTAGAAACTCATTAATTCCTCACGATCAGACTTAATTAGATGTATTCTTCACCGTGCAGTCAGTAATCTTCCCAGTAAGTTGTAAAGGCAGCAATCTAGATTGTGCAAATTAAGAGCATCACTGTTATTCCATGGCAGACACGCCAGATTCCTTCCCGCATTCTGCCCGTGATCAGAAATAGGTTGCTTCCAAAAAAAGCCCTTCCCTGGTCACACACAGCTTTTTCCTTTAATATCCATCTTGATGCCAGCTTCAGACTGCTTGCTCATTTGCTCCTCTGTGAAAGTGATGTAGGAATACACCAGGCTTCCAGCAATACTGCAAAACAGGGTCAGGCATGAGAGTGAGAGATCCCAGCTCAGAGCCACAGAAGCGACAGCACGCGCGTGCGCTGCACGCTCCGGCATGCTCATGGCTGGCTCCCTCTTGCATTGCACAATGCAAACCTGCCACCAGCAGCCCAGAGGAGATGCTACCTTTTACACCAGCACATTTATTAGTTATATAGACCTGCCCTGGGCAGCTGCAAACACCAGCTGCCAAAGAAAAGTCAAAACCATGGGTATGCCAATGGTCAAGGATCTGCTGCAAGCATCAATTTGCAAGAAAATTCTGTTTTCCTCCGAAGATCAGATATTTTGTTTAACTTGTACCCAAATGCCTGCTAGCCCGAGTCCCTAGCCTAGTGCTGGACCTGCTTCATCACTGAAGGAATCCT